ATGCTATATTGTCATTTAGACTGTATTGTCAATATAGTCATTTAGGAGACTTCATACCAGATTCCCCAGGCAAAATGGTGAAACCAAAATTTTAGACTCTTCCTAAGGCCTGAGTGCCAATATAAGTACCAATCTTTTTATAGTGGATCATATTTTTAATCACTGCTAGCATTCAAGTGTACTAGATTTCACAAAGTTATGGACTGTGGTAGAGTAAATCAAATGAAGACTTCTTCATTTTATACATATATTGCTCCAAAGCAAATTCTACTGGGTAAGCATGCAAAGAATCAATCCTAGAGGTGGGTTTCAGCAGGTTCTGACCACTTCTGGAGAACCAGTAGTGGAAATTTTGAATAGTTTGGAGAACCAGTAAATACCACCTCTGACTGGCCCCGCCCCCATCTATTCTCTGCCTCCTGAGTCCCAGCTGATTGGGAGGAAATGGAGATTTTGCAGTAACCTTCCCCTGGAGTAGGGTGGAAATGGAGATTTTACAGTATCTTTCCCCTGCCATGCCCACCAAGCCATGCCACGCCCACCAAGCCACACCCACAGAACCGGTAGTAAAAAAGTTTGAAACCCACCACTGATCAATCCCCACATTTTTCCTTTATTTGGATTACGGCATTATCATTTGAAGTTAATAAAGGTTGTCAGTCAAGAACATTGTTTTAAAGGACAGCTGGTATCTGTCAATCCTAAAATTAAAAGTTAGTGTTTATAAAAGTTAAAAACTATAAAATAGCGAACATCTTGGGAACTAAAAATAGCCAACATCTTGGGAGCTAATCAAGAGTTTAATTTTCCCATTAAATTTTTGTAGGTTATCAGGCAAGGGAACTTTAGTGAAAACAGGGCACTATCCTAAGATATTGGCTTTTTAAATTATTATTTATGTTTCCCAACTATCAGCTCCCCTAGATAGGCCGGACAAGAAAACCAGCTACACAGAAAAGATAAAATTTCCTATGTTGAGTTTGAATTAGGGCGGCCTCTGGTTGATCTGCTTCTGAATGTTATCTGATAGCTCTGGATTTAAAAATGTTTCAGTCCCTTTTGTCTATGTATCACCTGTGTATTAGTGTCAATAGTGTCAATTATTATTTTGAATAGAGATATTAGGCAAGATGACAAAATAAGGGGTATAAGTATCAACAAAGAAGTTTATAAATTGAGGGCATTTGCTGATAATCTGGTTATATTCTTGCAAGACCCAAAAAACAATCTAGAATATTTCGTGAGGAAATTAAATGAGTTTGGGGCTTTAGCAGGTTTTAAAAAGAACAAAAAGAAAACAATGATGTTGATTAAGAATATGTCATCACAGGACAGTGATATATTGACTAAAAAGTCAGGTTTTAGAGTCAAGAAAAAGGTGAAATCCTTAGAGGTTATGTTGACAAATTCAAATACAAAAATTGTTTCAAAATAACTATGTCCCTCTTTGGAGGAATGTTAAACAGGACTTACAAAGATGGGACATTTATCGTTATTGGGTAGAATTTTTGTAATTAAGATGCGCATGTTACCAAAGATTCCTTTTTTATTCCAGACACTACCAATACTCACAACTGATAATCCATTTAAACAATGGAAGAGGGATATTTCCAAGTTTATATGGCAAGGGAAGAAAACCAAGAATTAGATACAAGCTATTGCAAGATGCTAAGGAAAGAGGGTTTGGGGCAGGGGTGAAATCCAGAAGGTTCTGACAGGTTCTGGAGAACCGATAGTGGAAATTTTGAGTAGTTCGGAGAACCGGCAAATACTACCTCTGGCTGGCCCCAGAGTGGGGTGGGAATGGAGATTTTGGAGTATCCTTCCCCTGTCATGCCCACCAAGCCACGCCTACCAAGCCACACCATACCCACCAAGTCACGCCCACAGAACCGGTAGTAAAAAAAATTGGATTTCACCACTGGTTTGGGGGTTTAAAAGATTTGAAATTGTATTTCAATGCATGCTGTCTGGCCTGGTTAAAAGAGTGGGTGAACTTCTAGAACAAGAGGCTTCTTGAATTAAAGGGCCATGAATTAAGGTTGGATGGCACTGTTATCTATGGTATAAAGTTAAAGTTAATGTTGATTTTAATAATCACTTTGCTAGATGTGCCATACTAAGAGTTTGGAATAAATATAAAACAATGTCCTCTATGAAGTTGTGTTTTTGGGCGTTTGTCCGCCCCCGTCCCCTGCTCCCCCCCCAGGAAGCTTTTTTAAGAAAAGAAATGGTGGCAAAGCCAGACTGGTGGACATATGGTAAAATATTATCTTTCAATTCTGGTGACTCTATGCTAAAGTCAAGGGAAGAGCTTCAATTTAAAAATTATGTTTGCCAAGAAAATTTCTATAAGATGATGTATCGCTGGATAAGTTATCTAGATAACCGGATAAGTTATCTAGATCAGGGGTCTCCAACCTTGGCAACTTTAAGACTGGCTGAGGAATTCTGGGAGTTGAAGTCCACAAGTCTTAAAGTTGCCAAGGTTAGAGACCCCTAATCTAGAATGTATAAAGGTATTTCAAATGAATGTTGGAAGTGTAAAAGTAAAGAAGGGATTTTATATCATTTATGGTGGACATGTGATAAAGCAAAGAAATTTTGGAGTAAGTTTCATATTTTAATACAGAGGATTCTTAAATTGAAGATAAAGATGAAACCAGAAACTTTTCTTTTATGTTTAATGGAAAAAGACCTGGAGAGAAAAAAAATTGGAACCTGAATCTTGTACATGTTGACAGCAGCAAGACTACTGTATGCACAAAAATAGAAGAACATTTTGATTCCCACCATGGATAGATGGCTACAGAAGCTGATGGAGTTGGCAGAAATGGCTAAATTGACTGTTTTGATCAAAGAAAAAAATACAAATACTTTTATTTCTACTTGGAAACCACTTCTGGTCTGCACTAAAATATAAATTACATGGATAAAGGCATATAAACATTTTCTTGGATGCACATTTTTGAACTACAACATGGAAATATAAGGTTTTGATTCTTAAAAAAAAGATGCGACACCTTACAAAGTCTAAAACATTCTGGCAAGCTCGCAGCAATAATCAAAATGAATGTATGTGGTTCTGTTTGATTTGAACCATGGAATTACTGTATTCATTCCTCAGACATTTGTGTAGTATTGCAAGAACTGGAATTTTGTTTGACTTTTCTCCTTTCCTTGAATGAAGCATTCAAAAACAAACTCTTAAAACACTAGAGATATCACATGCCTTAAAGCTGCTGCATATCTGTTGATGTTTTTCATGCATTGCACTGTGTTATGAGGAAACAAATTGACAAAATCTGCTTTATATACAGTTCGGTGAACTTAAAGGCATCACTTCTAAAAGAGGGGAGCAAATATGTCATCGCAATGCTTTATGGAATGTAGGCATGCATTTTCAATTTATGGGGCATCAAATAATAGTATATATAATGGATTGCATTGTGTACATTGGTATCTTATTAGTAGCTATTTTTAAGTGTTGCTACTTGGAAAATCAGTTTAAATAACATAATAGGACAAAAGAAAGTCGTATTTTATCCAACCACATGCTGGTGCCCTTAAGGAAGATTGTAGCGACACCCTATGCTTAACCAGCCATTACTGTTACGTGCTAACCGTATCCTGTTAATAGGATTGATTATTTGAGGTTCTATGTATATCTTCGAAGAGATGCTATATTTTATAGAAACTTCCATATACAGTAAGCACAATTTCAAAATGAAGCTATGAATTGCACAGTGACAAAAACCATTCAGTGTAAGTCACAAATTGTTCTTTTTTTCTATTCAATTAAACTCCTACCTGAAATACAACAGATCCCTTCAACTTTTAAGAAAACCAGTCTGAGCATTACATAAAATGTTAAGAAATATTATCTGCATTCTAAACAGAAACTATATTCTAAAAAGTTGATTAAAATAACAACAGTGGCTTGGTGTTGAATTTTGAAACAGTCAAATTTTATGTATAATCTTTTATATTCTTGAAAACAGGCTATTTGAGTTTGTTGTTTAACTAAGTGTCCAAGCTTATGTTACAACAAAATGTAATACAATTAATGTTTTAAAAGATGTTTTTTTAAAAAAATCAGCAATAGTTTTAATAATTTTTTAATATCCACTTAGACTGCTCCACCAAAAAATCCTTCTTTTGGTTTGTACACACATACTTTTAAATCACTGACTTGTGAAAATCCAATGCAATATGGCACAATATGAAAGTTTCAGCAAACATTCAGTTCACTTCCGTCCAAAAGAAACATTTTTGTTAAACTTCACGATAAGCAAGAACATTCTAATATCATATGCACATTCCTAAAATAAAATTTCTGAGAAAACACCAGTAGCTTTCCATAAATCCTATATTTTTTTCTCTTTCCTCCTTCCACAATTACAAAACCAGATGACCTGAAACACTTGTCATTCAGAAGTACAAAGAACAACTGCAGGAGAAGACAAAGCTGTCCCAGATAAAACTTTACAGAACTCATGATGAAATATTCATTCACTCCTATGAAAATATAATAGTACATTAACTCTCGGCATAATTTTGAATACAGCAGAGCATGCTTTCTTCCTTCACAACACACAGACAATTTATTGTGGTAAATTGGAGGGAAAGCAACAATGCTACTTGCTAAATATATATATAGCAGCTGTTCCTGTCTGAAAATGACTCATTTCTACTTTGTTTGTGACATGGACTCATTTAGAAGAAGAGAACAGCTGCAGTTCCACTAGCTGCATTTTAGCACTTAGAATGCACTCCCTACTTCCAGGTGAGGAAAGGGGCATTCTTCTCCTTTAAAGAGCACTCAAGAGTACTCAAGAGCATATCTGAGCAACACCCTGAAGGTTCCCTCAAGGTCCTTTCTATTCAGGATAGGAAATACCATCACCAACATGACAGGAGGTCTGAAAAAAGTGAGCCCTTGCAAAGGAAACAAGCAGCCAAGACAAGTATTGAGAAAGATGTCAAAAAGTACTTCCTACCTGTGATAGGTTGCTACTCCCCTTAAGTCTGTACTCCCCTTAGATGCTGCCTCGTCTCCTTAGCAGGAATAACACATGTCTCTTTAGTAAGAAATGGGGAGAGAGACTACTAGTGGCTCTACCTGCTCCTTGGAAAAGGTTACTTCAAATGCTGCTTCTTCCTCCCACTTTATTCCCTCTCCCTGTTGGAAGAGGTGCTTATAAGGAGAGTAACCAAGTGTTTATCCTGGCTCGTGTGTGCAATAACTGCTTGCTCCCTGCAGTATAGCCGTGATGTGCATACTAAAGCAGCTCTCCCGTTTGTCAGTCCCCACCTTCTGTACGTATCTGAAACACAGCTTAGCTTCTTGGAAAACAACACAGCAACACAGACGCAAGGAGGCAGAGACAGCTCTGACACAGAACGGAGTCAGTTCTGGAGAGAGATAAATCCAGCAGCAAAAACCAGCACTGTATTTAATCACATGTTCAGCCCGATTCACCCCACGTTGCAAAAAAAAAAAAGCAGCAAAGCAGCTTCTAATTATATAGGTGAAAAGACAATCAACACCAGTGCTAAATGAGAGTCGGCTTCAGTTGGTGCAGAGTTTATGACACTTGGCACCAGAGCTAATGAGACACTGGTCGCTTGGAAGCATATTTTGCATGTTGTCGTCTTTCAAGACCAGTGTGAGAAGCGTGAAAAAATTAAAAAGGCAAAACCTTTGACCAAAATTTGACCAACTAATTAGGCTTTGCATAGATGTGGTGACTATCAAACTGGTGGGATGGGAGGAGTGACCCAAATTTTCAGGATGTAGGGATTATAAAGACTTGGTTACTAGGAGATCAAAAGCCTCCTGCAATTTACTTTTGAAATTCTGCCCAGTTGCTTTCTTTTGGGTTCTTACCATGAATGGAGCATCGTTGGTGAGACAGCTACAACTGATGAATTTTTCATTCCTCATCTGGGAAGGCCCTCCAGAGTTGATCTCTCTTTGCCAACTTTCCCACTGTTTACAGAAGAAAGGGGTTTCATCCTGAAATGGATTTAGAAATGGCCATTTATGGGGATTTTTCCATGCATCTCCCAGTCCTAGTCTAATGTTCTTAGCCAGGGCATCACACATGCTAACAATCAGTGTAATCTTCAAAGCTCCACCTCTTTCCAAACCTATCCTTTTTCTGTACTTTTAACTCCTTCTTGGCTACAACAGTAATAGTTGGATGTGTACAGGTAGTCCTTGACTTACAGCCAAGCCATCCATTTATTGTCCATTCAAAGTTGAAAAAAAAGTGCTTATGATTGTTTTTCACACTTATGACTGTTGTAACATCTCCATGGTCATGTGACCAAAATTCAGACATTTGGCAACTGACTCATATTTATGATGGTTGCAGATCCTCTTTTGTGACCTTCTGACAAGCAAAGTCACTGGGGAAGCCAGATTCACTTAACAACCATGTTACTAACAACTGCAGTGATTCACTTAACAACTGTGGCAAGAAAGGTCATAAAATAGGGTAAAATTCAAATAAAAACTGTCTCATTTAGCAACAGAAATTTTGGGCTCCATTTTGGTCATAAATTGAGGACAACCTGTACCTTACCTCCAGATCCCAAGCCAGAGGGAACATCCAAGACTTCAAAGTTTGTGTTCCATGTGTCTTGCTATGAAATTGCCTGTGTTTTCTTAGAGTTTTGCATTGGGTATATGTCAAAGTCAACGGGGAAGCCAGATTCACTTAACAATTGTATTATTAACTTAACAACTGCAGCAATTCACTTAACAACAGTGGCAAGCAAAGTGGTAACATGGGGCAGCTTTCTTAACAATGGAAATTTCTGGCTCAATTGTGGTTATAAGTCAAGGACTATTTACTAATAAGTACATACAAGTCAATTATCACCACAATATCTATGCTTCAATATGTCAACTTCTGTTTTATCAAACACTGTATTTTTCAAACACTATGAATTACAATATAAAGTAGCTTAAATATTCTCAACTGCATCTGTAAGGTACTGTGTCCACAATTATATATTCAGTTACCTGGGAATATGTTTCTCCAAAGTTAATGGGAGAAATTTCTGTACAGATTATACATACAGTATAATAATAATAGCAATATTTATTTCAGAGATGAATGAATATCTTACATTTTGCCATCTGAAAGATGATTTGTACTGTTAGGTAAGAACTATCAAAATGCATGCATTCTCTTACTTGTACACCATTAGTCAGTTTGAACATATAAACGTATCCCAATTCTTGACAGATAATCTCTTACTTATAAAGGATTTATCTTTTCACTGCTATTCTAGTTAATATTAAAAGATGGGTTGCTTTCCTATTGTCAAATAAAAGCCTAGCTTTTGTATTGTGCACATATAACACACACATACACACACATGCACACTGAGTAACAATACGTTGTAGAGGTTAAGGTGCTGGATTATGGTCAGGAAATCAAAGAAATAAGAGTCTTTACTTAAATTCAGACTCTGGGCATGTCATTCATTCATTCTTTCTAGATCCTAGGCTGGAGAATTAAAAAACATATTTTCTACCAATTCCCACTCCATTCCCATGATAGATTACAGTCCATAGTTTATGGGATCCTTGGTGCTCTCTGAGCTTCATTATTTCCTTGCAGACATTTCATTACTTGACTAGGTAACCCTTTCAGTGCTGGAAGGGAATGGGTAGCCCCGTTTCCCACTCCCTTCTAGCACTGAAAATGTTACTTGTTGGATAATAGCAACAGCACTTAGATTTATATACCACTTCACAGTGCTTTATAGTCCTCTCTAAGCGGTTTACAGAGTCAGCCTATTGCCCCCAACAATCTGCGTCCTCATTTTATCCACCTTGGAAGGATGGAAGGCTGAGTCAACCTTGAGCCTGGTGGGATTTGAACTGCCAAATTGCAGGCAGCCGACAGGCAGCAGAAGTAGCCTGCAATGCTGTACTCTAACCACTGCGCCACCGCGGCTCATAATGATATGATAATGAAACATCTGGAAGAAAACAACAACGATCAGTGAATACTAAGGATCCCACAGTTCCATTTGAGCTACAAATATTCTCTTCCATTGAGTCCATTGTTTTTCATGAAAGGACTTCCATCCTGCCTTGGATTGGTTCACATTGATAATAATTCCACCAAGATCTAAAAGAAGGGAATACTCAATCATTTCATGAAATAAATCTTTTGCTGTTGTTGTTGTTGTTCAAGGTACAAAACTGTAGATTTACTTAAACACAACAGCAGCAAAAACCTGTTTGGTATTGGAGCAAGGGTGAAATGCTCCCGGTTCGGACTGGATCGCCCGATCTGGTAGCGATGGAGGTGGGTGGTTCGGAGAACCGGTAGCAAAATCTCTGCCCCCCCACCCCCCCATGCCCAGTTGAGCCGCACAATCATCAGAGGCTTTTTTTTTTTTACTTTAAAAGCATTTTTTCTACAATCTGTTCAGCTGAAAAAATGTTTTTAAAAGTTAAAAAAAAAGCCTCTGATGATTGCATGGCTCAGCTGGGATCGTCAAAGGCTTTTAAAAGAAAAAAAAAACTTTTTTTTCTTTTAAATGCCTCTGACAATCCAAACTGAGTTGCCTGATCGGCAGAGGCTTTTTAAAAAACTCAGTTGGGATCATCAGAGCCTTCTGAAAGCATTTTTTTACAACCTCTTCACCAAAGAGGTTGTAGAAAAAATGGTTTTAAAAGTTAAAAAAAAAAATTGGCCATGCCCACCCAGTCACATTACCCACCCACCCACCAAGCCACGCCCACAAAACTGGTAGTAACAAATTTTAGATTTCACCACTGTATTGGAGAGACATAATCCAGGAAACCGCTAAACAATACCCCCCAAAAAATAGACTTTCCGTATTTATTTTGACATCTAGCGGTCATCTAGATGTTTACTAACAGTAGATCATTGAAGAGCCTTGGTAGTACAGTGGCACCCTGTTATTAAGCTGGTTATTAAGACCAGCTGCCTGCAATTACTGCAGGTTCGAATCTCGCCAAGGCTTAAGGTTGACTCAGCCTTCCCTCCTTTCTAAGGTAGGTAAATTGAGGACCCAGTTGTGGGGGCAATAAGCTGACTTTGTATAAAATATACAAAAGTATGAAGGCTATTGCTGAGCACATTGTAAGCCGCCCTGAGTCTCCGGAGAAGGGCGGCATATAAATCAAATTAAAAAAAAATTGGGGTGGGGAGAGGGGGTTCACCTTTCCAGACATAACTTTCCTTTTTTAAAAAAGCAATTTACTTGGATGATTCCACCAAACTAATAATTTGATCGGTAATTCAGTTAGAACGGTATACCATAAACAATGTAAAAACTTCACTTTTCAGAAGAACTAACAAGGGCCTGGAGATATATATTGATGTCTTTTTGAACTAGAAAAGAATCCCCTTGGAGAATAGCTCTGAAGGGTCCTTTAGTACATAATTATTCAGACTATTCTTTCTTTTAATTTCCATCTATCCGGAAAGAGACTAACAGTAATGCAGCCATCTTCTTCCTAAATGCTATTTGAATTTTATGACTTTCTCAGAATTGCTAGGCATATGCCAGGGAAAAGTAGTTTTTTATGGTCCCAGTAATTAAAAGAAATAACACAGAAAATCATTCCTGCTTTATTTATGTTGCACTTCCATAGGCAAGATCCTACCGAGGAGGAGCAGGGGTGTCAAACTAAGTTTAGTAGGATAGCTAGAATCAAGATGTTGTGATTGGATTCACATTCCATATGAGGCTGTTGTAGGGTTAGGAAGAACAAGGCCCATTCATTTGTTGGAACTTGTCCATTGTTTTAGCCTATTGATTAAACCAAGTCATTTTATGAAGCAGAATGCAAAAACAAATAGTTTTGTTAGTTCAGGTTTAGAACGGATAGGTTAACAAAACATTTTGGTCTGTTTTGTTCAGAGCTGTCTTAAATTTACACTAAAGCTGGTTAAAGGATTAGCTAAGTACACTCAAGATCAAGAAGGAGAAGAAGTAAAGGCACTCAATACAAAAATGGAATAGACTTGTAAGCAAAACTTCAACAGAATACAAACTTCAGCACTGTTCTGATGCACAATTTTAGAGACAAGGACCAAAAACTGTTACAGAAATCAGGACTATACAAAGCATGTCATCTCAGTATTAGTCTAGGTCTGTGATGGCAAACCTATGGCACGTGTGCCAGAGGTGACATGCAGAGCCCTCTCTGTGGGCACGCGTGCCATCTCCATCTACTCTTCTGGTTTCCGGCACATGCATGTGCACTGGCCAGCTGGTCTTTGCGTGTGCCAGAGCC